ACACTGTGGTTTTATTTGCTGAAGAGTCACAATTGTTATACCAGTGTATCCATAAACCATCTCCTCATTTCATATTTCTGAATACATCTTAGAGATGTAACAGCCGTCGTCTGAGCCAGCCCAGCAGGCCCTGTAGATGGACGATGGAGTGGACAGTGAGAGGAAGCGTCCCAAAGCTCTCTCTGCAGACCGTCCTGTATGATGTTCCTCTGACCAGAACCGTCCAGCCACGGGTCTGCTCCAGCCCTCCATCCACGTCTGGATCCTCCTGCAGCAGATCCAGCTGCACTGTTAAAGACTTCCTGCTCACTCAGTTTAAATAACTGATCCAGGAAGAGTCACTCAGGTTAATCCTGCTTTAACCGTACATAACTGGTCCATACTGGTTTTGATCTGTAAATAAGTTTAACCTATTTTAAAGGAGCATGGGGCAGGATGAAGAAACGAAACTCATTAGCGACGCACTCGGCGCTGTGAGTAACTGCAGCCCGGCACGAGAGCGCGCACAAACTCTTCACTAGAAAAAAAAAAGTTTCAGTGATGTACGGCTAGAGCGCGGCTCGAACAAGGCACCGTGTCGAGCGATGAAGTAAGTAACATTGTTACTTTAGTCTAATATTTGTATAATTCCATGACAACATTAGCATTTTAATTTAGCCATGACACTCGTGATGTAAAGCAAGTGCTCCTTCCTATGAAATATTCATAAGCCAGTTTTGTGACTGGCGAGTGTAACGTGAGGAAATATGGGTTTTCTGTGGTGTTGGACTCAGCCGGGTCAAAGCTGGGTCGTTGAGAACTTTCACCCACAGATTAAGACCTGAACGCCAGAGAGTCTGGGAGGAAACCATAACATCTACCACCTGCAGCTTCGTGCCAGAAGATGTTGTTCCCACAGAAGATGTTGTTCCCATAAAAGTAGTCATAACATAACAAGTCTTAAAACTTTGTTTCTTGATTTTAATGTTAAAGTAACCATTATCATTTTGCTCATTATAAATGTGTTTAATCAAATGAATGGTTCTTATGCTTTGGGTAATTATAATGGATTAATGAAGCCATTCTTAAATAATGTTTGAGGATGTTTGTTACTGACCTTCACACACACTCAAGCACACAAACACTCACACACACCCACACACAGATTCTCACAGTAAACTCCAAAACACATTTGCTGACGCACACGTTTTGCTTTGAGAGGAGAAAGGCTTTTGGTAAGTTTTGAGTCTTATGATTTCAGTTCGTGTTGGACAACGAAAGAGAGTGGACCTGAAAACCAAAGGGGGGGCAGAGCCGGTTGGCTCGTTTCTCCCCCCTCTCACGCTGTTCCTGTCAGCCAGACAGAATAGCTGAATCGCAACTTCTAACGCAGACTCATACAGAGTCTTTGATTTCTGAGTGAATTAAACTTAACAAAGCGCATCGACAAAACGCTTTATCATCACGTGTACCGAGGTCATCTCCTGGACCGGGTCGCAGCACGCCTTCGTCTTCTCTGCCAGCCGAGGTGTCACCCTGGATGAAACATCGTCCTTTGACGTCCCGGGTCCAAGAGGAGGGTCCGAATACGGTGAGACAGAACACGAGAGATAGCGTTGATGCATCTTTTCCAACCAAACCTAAGTTTATCCAAACCATCACTTCACTCAGACACCTGTTCTTCCTGAAGCAAAATCAGACTCACACACGCATTCATATCACAACATTCTCAATCTTCATAAATTCACCACAAGGTCTATTTGATCATATCAACTGTTAAAGATTGTCCCACAAGTTGCCAATGTTGATTGTTATTTCCTGTTTGTCAATTTCAAAATCATTAGTTTAATTTGAAGAATTAAAACTTTTAATTGTCAAACTGGTTTCCTCATTGAACTGAAACACAGACACACAGATATTATCGTCAGTTTATCGATGAAAACAACCTTTGAGTCTTCTTAACAATATAAAATTTGGTTATTGATTTATTAAAAATTAATATTCCGAATTAATAGCGGGGTGCAGCAGTGGCAGTTGCCGAGGCAAAATCTCGGGCGTGGGAGGAGTTTGGTGAGGCCATGGAGAAAGACTATCGATCGGCTCCAAAGAGGTTCTGGCAAACTGTCCGGCGCCTCAGGAGAGGAAGGCAGCAACTCGCTCACACTGTTTACAGTGGGGATGGGGAGCTGCTGACGTCAACTGAGGCTATAGTCGGACGGTGGAAGGAATACTTTGAGGAGCTCCTCAATCCCACCAATGCGCATTCCGAGGAGGAACCAGAGCTGGGAGGCCTGGGGATGGACTGTCCGATCTCGGGGGCAGAAGTTGCTGAGGTAGTCAAACAACTACACAGCGGCGGAGCCCCGGGGGCGGATGAGGTTCGTCCTGGGTATCTCAAGGCTATGGATGTTGTAGGGCTGTCATGGTTGACACGTCTCTACAACATTGCGTGGTCATCGGGGGCAGTTCCTAGGGAGTGGCAGACCGGGGTGGTGGTCCCCATCTTTAAGAAGGGTGACCTGAGGGTGTGTTCCAACTATAGGGGGATCACACTCCTCAGCCTCCCTGGAAAGGTCTACGCCAAGGTACTGGAGAGGAGGGTCCGATCGATAGTTGAATCTCAGATAGAGGAGGAGCAATGTGGTTTTCGTCCTGGCCGTGGAACTGTGGACCAGCTCTATACCCTTGCAAGGGTGATGGAGGGGGCATGGGAGTTTGCCCAACCAATCCACATGTGCTTTGTGGATTTGGAGAAGGCTTATGACCGTGTCCCCAGGGGCACCCTGTGGGGGACGCTCCAGGAGTATGGGGTGGGTGGCTTTCTGTTAAGGGCCATTCAGTCCCTTTACCAGAGGAGCGTGAGTTTGGTCCGCATAGCCGGTAGTAAGTCGGACCTGTTCCCAGTGAGGGTTGGACTCCGCCAGGGCTGCCCTTTGTCACCGGTTCTGTTCATCACTTTTATGGACAGAATTTCTAGACGCAGCCGTGGTGTGGAGTGTGTCGAGTTTGGTGGCAGGAGAATCTCGTCTCTGCTTTTTGCGGATGATGTGGTCCTCCTAGCTTCATCCAGCTCTGACCTTCAGCTCTTGCTGGGTAGGTTCGCGGCCGAATGTGAAGCGGCTGGGATGAGGATCAGCACCTCCAAATCTGAGACCATGGTTCTCGACCGGAAAAGGGTGGCTTGCCACCTCCGGGTCGGGGGAGAGGTCCTACCTCAAGTGGAGGAGTTTAAGTATCTCGGGGTCTTGTTCACGAGTGAGGGTAGGAGGGATCGGGAGATCGACAGGCGGATTGGTTCGGCGTCTGCAGTGATGCGGACGCTGAGCCGATCTGTCGTGGGGAAGAGGGAGCTGAGCCAGAAAGCCAGGCTCTCGATTTACCGGTCGATCTACGTCCCAATCCTCACCTATGGTCATGAGCTTTGGGTAATGACCGAAAGAACGAGATCGCGGATACAAGCGGCCGAAATGAGTTTCCTCCGTAGGGTGGCCGGGCTCAGCCTTAGAGATAGGGTGAGGAGCTCGGACATTCGGGAGGGACTCGGAGTAGAACCGCTGCTCCTCCGGATCGAAAGGAGCCAGTTGAGGTGGTTTGGGCATCTGGTCAGGATGCCTCCTGGACGCCTCCCCGGGGAGGTGTTTCGGGCATGTCCTGCCGGCAGAAGGCCCCCGGGTCGACCCAGGACACGTTGGAGAAGTTACATCTCCAATCTGGTCCGGGAACGCCTTGGGGTCCTGCCGGAGGAGCTGGTGGACAAGGCCGGGGAGAGGACGGCCTGGAGCTCCCTAGTTGGGATGCTGCCCCCGCGACCCGGACCCGGATAAGCGGAGGAAGACGACGACGACGACGACGACGACGAATTAATACGTAGCATGGTTCCTCTTTCATAAAAGAGCCTAAAACCACAATGCTACAATATAACTGAGTAAAGACAGTTTCTCCTTACACGAGCAAGACAGTAACATGATGCTACTTTATCAGCATAAGGCTTTGTGGCTGCAGGTGATTTCTGATGTTTTTAGACCAATTACAGTTATTATTTTGCACTAAGCTTACTAACAAGCTAATGTTATTGTTTATACATCATGTAAGAACATCCAATTTCAAGTCACTGACATCATTTGTGAAACCAATTTCATTACAGGACAGGCATCACAACAATGTAAATAAGAACATAAATATCAATGTTTAGTTCAAAAAATGCATCAAAATAAAATCATAATATCAACAAGACCTACAGGGTAATACAGTCATTTTTATCATTACTGTCATTGATTTTCAGGAATTCACATTGGAAGGAGTGATGGAAGACAGTTCAGATGGAGTGTGCCTGAGCCTGCCACAGACTTTGATGTGTTGTGGGAAAGTCTGAGACCAGGGGCTAAAGGAAAGGGGAGAGAAAAAGGTCACTCCGAGGGTCGGGGAAGGACACGCTCAAGGGGTGAGGGCAGCAGGTTGAGGTCCAGAGCTCCTTCAAGAGGACCAGGGCGCCAGGGTAGGCAGCGAACAGCTTTCAGAGAAGAGGACCGAGACCGGCTTGCACAGCTGAGAGCTGCCAGTATAGCTGAGATGCAGGTTGGTTGTAGCCATTTGTGTAAAAAAATAAAATAAAATAATAGATGCCAAAAACGAAAACATCACTCACTGGAGATATTAATCTAGTCATGTAAACATATGCACTTAAATTTCTAGACAGCTTTACAACACCTGAGCCAGGAGGAGAGAGATTATATTCTCGAGAGAGTGGTGACCCGTCTTCCAGGGGTGATGCTGGATATCCTGGAGTTTCGGCAAGAGACGCCAGGACACCGTCTTCCTGACTGAGGGCACCCTAACCCAAAAATCCTAACCGTTTATCTACAACTACAGTAGTTCCAAAACAGCACAATACCTCAAAATAACTTTAGCTGAAGACAGCATTTTCACCCAAAAATAAACAAACCGTTTGTGCAATATATTTATTTTTATTTATGTACAAAAAAGTTCTGTTATTTGCATTTGTACATAGTATTTTTTCTTAATTTCTAATAAATCTGTGTGCATGAAAGAAGTCATTCCTGTCTTTTGATGCTTCACGTAGCTGGGGCCTTTATGGAGAGGAGAACAGCAGCATTAGATCATACATAGATTACATGAGAATGCAGTTCTGGAAACTCTCCAGTTCTGAAGTTGACCTGTAAAAAAAACAAAAGCTACAACTTTATAATTATTAGGAATCACACTTTTGATTGCCTTTTCACCCACAATTGTCATTTCTATATGTAAATTTTCAGCTTTGATATTGACACTTTAGCTTTTTTGCTTATGAAAATGTTATTAATAAACCTAAAGGTCAGATTGGTGACATCCTTCAACCAGCGTCTGTTGAACATGATTCGTTGAAGAGCCTCGTGTGGTGGAGATCATGGCACCATGAGCTCTTTATCACTGGTCGTTGCATCAAGTGGTCCATGGTCACATTTGCCACGGGTCCATTCATGCTTCCCTGTGACATGGTGAAGCACACCCACCCACATGTCCTAACAGAAAAAATAAGTTTTATTTGAAAACTTTACATGTGACAGAAGCGCTCACCAACAGAAACACGAGAGCTGGCACTATTGTGAAAAGAAAGGTAATTATGTCAATGTGCATTGTTGTCTTGTTGTCCAAAAGATGTCACAATACTTACATTAAACATATCACGATGTTGTGCTTTCTGGCAAATGTACCAAAATTGGTTGAAGATGTCCTTCAGCCACACAAGTAGGATGGAAATTCCCTTTAGGATCCCAGCCTGTGAACAAGGATAAAACAACAATTCCATCTTTTAGTTCTTTTTAAAACATAGAAGGGTTTTATTTACCTGCAACGTTTTGTTTGCGGCTGCAAACTTCGTCAGCCTGACAAAGTTTTCATAACAGTTCTATTCTGTTATGAAAACAATAAATAAAAGTAGAATTAATATATTGTTATAAGATTTGGAGTTTAAAAAAAGTGTAGATAAGGATAGGGCTGGGTAATATGGCCTCAAATCTATATTGCGATATAATCTGAAGCATGTGCAGTAACGATATATATTGCGATATATTTTTTCATCTGTTTATAGATGTCAAATTGACATGCTTTTAGATATCCGCAAGTGGCAAATATATGCCACTTGAGGCATATAGGCCTCCTCCTCCGCCCACTCCATGCTTGCAGTCACCGCCATTCTGTTGTCCCATTGTCAGCAGGGTGCACATCTTAGTGGCGTCATGTGTTATCACAATATCGCCGTATTGCGATATAGCCAAAAACTATCATTACCCAATTTTATATCATTTCTACCTTATATCGTTTATATTGCCCACCCCTAGATAAGAAGACATTGCAACTCACACACTGTTGAGTAAGTTGTTTGCTTGGTCCTCATCAATTTGGACTGCATCCGTACACGGAAAAAAGAAAATCGTTTAATCAACCTAATTGAATTGCTTCAATTGGTAACAAGCAATTTAATTAAGTTTATCCAACCTAAATTATTGAAATTGTACTAATAATTTAAGTTGGATAAACTTAATTAAATTGCTTGTTACCAACTGAGGCAATTTTTTAAGTTGGATCAACTTTTTCTTTTTACAGTGTAGCTAGATCCATGGATTTGAAACTACAGACAACACAATAATATTTGTTGTACGTAAAGATAAATACTGGAACTTACCTGAAATGGTACTGATTCTAAAGAGATAAATGTGGAGCCTAATACATCTGTCATTAATTATTTCTGCAAATAACAACAATCTGCTGTGAATTGACACTTCACAACAAAAATAAATATATATAATGACCTATATTTGCTTATCTATTGTGTTTTTATCTTTTTTGCATATAGTACAGCAGTAATTTCCTGTATACAGGTGCTGGCCAGTAAATTAGAATATCATCAAAAGGTTGAAAATATTTCAGTAATTCCATTCAAAACGTGAAACTTGTACATTATATTCATGCAATGCACACAGACCAATGTATTTCCAATGTTCATTACATTTAAATTTGATATTCATAAGTGACAACTAATGAAAACTCCAAATTTGGTATCTCAAAAAATTAGAATATTCTGAAAAGGCTGAATATAGAAGACACCTGCTGCCACTCTAATCAGCTGATTTACTCAAAACACCTGCAAAGGCCTTTAAAAGGTCCCTCAGTCTTGTTTTGAAGGCACCACAATCATGGGGAAGACTTCTGACTTAACAGCTGTCCAAAAGACAATCATTGACACCTTGCACAAGGAGGGCAAGACACAAAAGGTGATTGCTAAAGAAGCTGGCTGTTCGCAGAGCTCTGTGTCCAAGCACATTAACAGACAGGCGAAGGGACGGAAAAAATGTGGTAGAAAAAAGTGTACAAGCTCTAGGGATAACCGCACCCTGCAGAGAATTGTGACGACAAACCCATTCAAAAATGTGGGGGAGATCCACAAAGAGTGGACTGCAGCTGGAGTCAGCGCTTCAAGAACCACCACGAGGAGACTCATGAAAGACATGGGATTCAGGTGTCGCATTCCGTGTGTCAAGCCACTCTTGAACAAGAAACAGCGCAAGAAGCGTCTCGCCTGGGCCAAGGACAAAAAGGACTGGACTGATGCTGAGTGGTCCAAAGTTATGTTTTCTGATGAAAGCAAGTTCTGCATTTCCTTTGGAAATCAAGGACCCAGAATCTGGAGGAAGAGCGGAGAAGCACAGAATCCACGTTGCATGAGGTCCAGTGTAAAGTTTCCACCGTCAGTGATGGTGTGGGGTGCCATGTCATCTGCCGGTGTTGGCCCACTCTGTTTCCTGAGGTCCAGGGTCAATGCAGCCGTCTACCAGGAAGTTTTAGAGCACTTCATGCTTCCTGCTGCTGACCAACTTTATGGGGATGCAGACTTCACCTTTCAACAGGACCTGGCACCTGCACACAGTGCCAAAACCACCAGCACCTGGTTCAAGGACCATGGTATCCCTGTCCTTGATTGGCCAGCAAACTCGCCTGACCTTAACCCCATAGAAAATCTATGGGGTATTGTGAAGCGGAGGATGCAATACGCTAGACCCAACAATGCAGAGGAGCTGAAGACGACTATCAGAGCAACCTGGGCTCTCATAACACCTGAGCAGTGCCACAGACTGATCGAGTCCATGCCACGCCGCATTACTGCAGTTATTGAGGCAAAAGGAGCCCCGACTAAGTATTGAGTGCTATACATGCACATTCTTTTCATGTTCATTCTTTTCAGTTGGCCAACATTAGAGAAACAAACATTTTTTCATTGGCCTTTAGAATATTCTAATTTTCTGAGATACCAGATTTGATGTTTTCATTGGTTGTCACCTATAAATATCAAAATTAAACGTAATAAACATCGGAAATACATTGGTCTGTGTGCATTGCATGAATATAATGTACAAGTTTCACGTTTTGAATGGAATTACTGAAATATTTTCAACCTTTTGATGATATTCTAATTTACTGGCCAGCACCTGTATATGGCAAGACTTCTCATGAACAAATTTACCTTTCTTCAAAAGGATCCAAATCTTGGTCATCAGCTAAGGCCTCAACACCAGCCATTAGAAAATCTTCCCTGTAAAGATAATGTCAGAAGTGTTTGGTGGTGTGATGTTAGTTCTGAACCAAGTGTGGATATCCAAGGTGTAATTTAAAGTATGAAATATCATAGCACAAAAACGTGAATATTTGTTTTACAGAAAAGATACTAACCCCTCAGACACAGGTTCAGTTGGAGATAATCGATGCAACATTTTAGCTGCTGTTCTCTTACTGGGTGTCGAGGTTGACTGCACATTACCTCCCTGAATTGCAGTTTCAGGAGCCTGCTTCTTCCGGTAGCTGGAAAACACATTTTTAAACAAAAATGTCAACAAGTTGGTTGAGACTCTACACCTTATGTTTACATAGATCAATAATGGCTAAGCACAACTAGTAATATGAAAATGCATGTTAGTCATAAAAAAAAATATCATTTTCACAAACATATTTTATTCTGACCTACATTCAACTGGACAAATTTTGAAAAATAAACACAAACTTCTGCACAACTTTACTTTTAGTAAAACATGTAGTAAAGGGGGACTAGTTATTTACTCTTTTGTAGCACAGCACTAACGTTAGGAAAAGATATTCCAATGGGGTTCTGTTACACAAACACCACGAATAACATTATCTACTGAAGTAACAGTCCTGCTTAGAGGTTGGACTGTAGATCAAATATGACATAATTCTAAAGAATCATCTTTGGTTTGGAAAATGTCCGTTCTCTTCTGTGGTACATACAAACCGTTAGCGTGATCACAGCTAACATGCTAACGCACGCTAGCTCGCTCCGGCTGATCGGTGACGTCATATAATCAAATCAAGCTCTGTTTACTTTTCTCGTCAGAATAAACGGAGCATCCATTTGTCTCCAAACACATGCGGCGTGTCGTCCACAAAACGTAGAAGTGATCTGATTACTCCTTAGTTGCTTTTAGCTTTTTCAAACTGATCAGGAAGCCATATACTAAACACCGTTAGCTTAGATAAGTTTCTTGTTCATCTGCACAAAGATTTGTTAGATTACCTAAATCAGTATTATCTAAATCCATAGGTTTTATTTTCTTCTCTTAAATTGTGGAGATACAGCTCTGATATGTTTACCTACTCGTTACTGAAACCTACAGCAGACATAAGGAGACCAGCTAATACAACACTTACCTGGTCACTAGAAAATGAGCCATGTCTGCATCCTTTTCAGGTGGCAGCCCAAATTGAATTGAACCAGCCTCATTCTTCCAGAGCGTAACCAATAGATATTCGGGTCCCTGACCGACTTTTAAATTTTCTTTTTGACTCTCGAGATGCCGCTGATAAAACCTTCTCCTTTGTGCCACTTTAGTGGGCTTTGAGTTGCGCTTGGTCGTTTGCTAGTTGTAGAATCCATTTCCAGGGTTCTTCCTCTTCTGTTTGAGGTTTTAACGAGGCTAGTAGTGAAAGACGCATTACCGCCACCTAGCAAGCTTCCAAATGTTTTTCCGGGTTTGAATCTTGTCGAGAACGCGCTTGAAGCGTCAATTAACGTCACATCCATAAAACAGCGTGGGAAATTCGGATCAGGAATGTTTTGCATTTTGCAGCACACAGCCTGATTAACAAAATGGAATGATAAACTGGTTTCATCATTCTTTTTAGTTTAAAATGCATCATCACCCATAAGCTTCACAAGAATGAACATGTATCCTATTTACTTCTTGTTTTTGGACAATTCCTGCCCCATGCTCCTTTAAGTGTTTAATAAAAAACAAAAAGCACACTGGAAATTACAAAGGTGCTCTTTTTAGCAATTGCACAACAAGAATTTACAAGAACAGCAAATTTAAACATGTTAACCCTGAGTCTGTAGATATTCACTTGTTACAACACAGGCTCAACCAAACAGTGTGAATATTTATTTGCTGCGATTCATTTTGAGAAAAGCACTTCGTGCTAGTGTGACCTTTGCTCGGTTGCGTTTCCCTCTAGTGAGGTCACCTGTGATACTGAACACTCTTTCTGCAAAAGATTGAGAAGCTGGCATTGCCAAAATATCTAATGCTAATGGTTTCAGGCTGTGTCACATTTTCCAAGCCAAAACTCCATTCCCGTTTCACAAGTGATGGACTGTGAGAGCTCTTCCTTATACTGGCTTATCTGCTGTCTAACACTACACTTGGAAGACTTTGGTTTAGGCTTTGCTCCGAATTTGGAGAGAAACCTAAAGACTGGTTGTCTGGAGGAGGAGGAGGCAGATGATGAAGAGGAGGTGGCGGCGGGTGGTGCCGGTTCAGGTCCATTCAGTTCCTCCAGATCAAAGTGGTTCTCCTGTGTCTCAGAGCACCGAACAACATACCCTTCTGCCTGCTTGAGCAGCTCCTGAATGTTATCATCAGCCACATTCAGTGCGTTTACAAGCAGCCAGTAACCCTTTTAAAACCCGAATATTCACAATAACCCAGTTCCGCAGGTCCTTGTAAACACCGCCAGAAATCCGGATATGCTCATAACCGGGTTTTTAAAAACCCGGTTACTACACCTGGGGTAACCCTTTTCTAACCTGAATGCTTGGTCGTGTAAACGCATACCGGGATATCCCCATCAAAGCGTGTGTTCTGCGCATGCTCTGTTCGCAAGGAATCTTGGTCTTTTGAGTAGCGAGACGTCTTGTATGCGCCAGAACTCTAGAAGTAAACAACAAGTTGGGAGCAACATGGCGAGTCGCGGCACAGCACCACACTTTTGGAGTGACGAGGAAACTAAAGCGCAAACAAACACGGTCGCTATCTCTTCCGAACTGGGAAAAATGTTGTTGTTTTCACGGATACCGGAACAAGAAGAACCGGAAATGACGCATATTGCATCTGGACGTAGTCCACACGTCCTGACGTTACCCCAACGTCCGCATTTACATCGGGTTATGCAAGTTAGAGGTAACTCTTTCTATTTATGCTTGTAAACGGGTTATTCTGATCAACTCAGAAGCCCGAATGCCGACCTTAACCCGATCATAACCCGGATATTGGCTGCATGTAAACGTAGTCATTGAGAAGGGTCTGACACACAGTAGGATTGAGAAAGCCAGCAGCTGCTACAAGTGGGGAAAACTTGTCATCTGAGGGATCTGTAACACATGCAAAAGGCACACCGGGTTATAAAACGTACCGGTAAAACATCTGTTCGGGCTCGGGACTCGGATCATATCAGCGCAAACCAGACATTGTGAAAATTATAAACAGCCAAAAGCATGCTTCACTTTACTGGTCTAGTCCTGGTTTAGAGCGCACGTGCAGCGAGCGGCTACGACCCAAAAGTACCAGAACCGCTCGCGGCGCACGCGCAATCATGCATCAACACTGCTCGCCCGCTATTTCCCTAATAACACACGTTATAGTCGTGAAAATACGGTACTTCTGAATTTTTATCCCAACATGACAGTGTTGATACAGTTTTATTTGCCTGTATATTACTTTTCGGGTTGTCACGTGTACATTTAAGTGGATTTACCTCAGAGAAAATGGTGAAGTGGCCATTCTGTAGATGCCTCTTCAGATTCGTTGTGTTCTTTCCTCGGAACAACAGTCCACACTCTCGGCATGTAGTTTTGGTAGCAATGTTATCATAAGAAAAATGACTCCACACATCTTCTCTTCTTTTTCGCCCAGCAGTTAACATTTTCCTCTACTCCTTCTTCTTATGCCGTCGATATATTCAGTGAGCTATGTTTAGCATACCGCGCATACCTGCCCCTTTATACTATTCGGGGTCTGTATTCGCTCACGTCGCGCACGTTCACGGCACGCCACGCTCCTTGTCTTCTACTACGTTCGCATCTCACAACAACACAATAGGCGCACCACACCATAGAGTGCCGTGTAGAAGAGCGTCATCGTGGATTTTCATCTCGTCTTTCATTCATTGACTAAAAGTTTCAATCAATGTAATTATTGTCTTCGTCTTTTTCCAAGCTTTTATTTTGAAATTTTGTTTCATTTTCGTCTGTAAATATATTTTCGTGACGAAAAAAAGACGAAAATATTTTGTCAACAAAATTTGCACTGCGGGGGAGTTGACTCGTTCAAGTGAACACCACCCTCGCCCTGATCATGTTCATCACGTCGTGAATGCAAAGGCCACAGCCCTACCCAAAAGCCAAGATCTGAGTCTGGTAGCATGTTCCCTGAAGCCCTGCGCGACATGCTGAGATCTCCACTTCGTGCCTTTGATAAAGACCCATCTAAGACTAAGGAGGTTCTGTTCATCTCTTCTGCAGGCCCGAGTGTAAGTCCTCTTGCACCTATGCCTCCTGCACATGACCTTGTCATAAAGAAAAGCCCTCCAGAAGAGGAACCTGCCCCAATGGTGTGTCCCATGACATCTGTGACCCCAGTGGTGTCTGGTGAGGTTGTGTCCATTAACACCATTCCCCAAGCATCCAAAACACTTGTCAGCAGGTCGAGCAACACTTTCCCGCTGGAGAAGCCTAAACTTAAGCTTCTCTGTGCATTCAGCCGTAAGGGCCCCAAACAGAAACCTCACATCCTTGTAATCCTTGAGGGGTCACCAACATGTGATGCTATCTTAGACACCGGTTCAGACGTTTCTATTATGTCTCGTTCTCTTTGGGAAGGCCTCCACTTGGATGCAGCTCATCTTTTCCTTTTCCATTCGGTAAAGATCTGCTCAATTGCTTTACGCCCATTATTGACATCTGTGGGTCGAAGCTCTGGACTCAGTTGACTCAACCGCTATTCATGAAGCTCCCCCAGGACCTTGTTTCTTCTTTAGGTGTTGTAAACAACACCAGCGCTGCCCATGTGACCAGTCAGTTTGGTGTTTCTCTGGTTAGTGACACGCCTAGTGTCTGCGTCGTCTCGGCACTTGAAACCCCTCGCCCTGCGATGGGATCACCACCTACCAAAGGGCGGGTTGAAAGCCACACTGACCCTGCATCATTACAGTCGGCACCTGAGACCTTTCACCCTGCAGTGGGTCCCTCGCCAACCAAAGGGGGGATTGAATGCCGACCCATTCCACTGCAGGCTGACTCATTTCTTTATGGCTGCATCTGCGTGTTGACCAAGGGCCCTCTGGAACACATCCCAGTGCCAAGCCCTCGACAGGCTGCTCCCACGCCAGTCTACAGTCTCCATCGTCTGACATTCCAGGTTTCGGGCCCAACAAAGTATCATGCTGGTGGCGTGTGTCTTCGTGATGTCTGACACGGCTTAGCCTCCTCCTCAGCCTTCTCTACCATGCTTGTATGAGCTTGGACCCTCTTTGGTTGTCTCACTCACGGAGTGTCCAGGCCTGTTAATGGCGAACTACTGTCTGTTAACGTAAAAGGTGTTTGTAAAGTTCATTTGGTGCGCTTTCTGAAACAGGTACCAACTGGACTCACACAATGATGTGGCACCCTGGAGCCGATATCTCTCACATGCTACTCCAGCCAAAGAAAATCACGGTTTCTAATTCTGAGCTTTCTGGTACACACGGCAGGGCAGTTCCCCTCCTTTGATAATACCGTTGGTTCTCTCTTTAACTTAGGCTTCTCATCTGTCAACTCTGTCAAGATTGACACTGTTCAATGTCACATCGCTGAGCTTAACAGGGAATTCCCTTCCCTGCATAAGCTGGCGCGTCACCAACAGTGTGCATTAAAGCTGCTAGGCACCTATGGTGGTCCTGAAGACGCACAGCGAGATGTGGCATAATACCGCTGTTGCAGCTATAATGATAATAGAGGGTAAATTACTTTAAGTAAATTGCTTGAAAAGTTATTGATATTATTGCCACTACTTGTGACCAATAGCTGTGATACTCTATATAAATAGAATATCCCCTGCTTGGTCTTAGGATGATTAATTAGAAGATCCTAGGATTCTTTTAATTATTAAGGGATCATGCACACTTCGCTTTGATTCAAGAAACAGTCAGGTTTATAAACAAGTAAGAATTTATTTTACATACACTTCAGACTTGACAAATTGTTTAAACTATTATTTACTGTGAGTGGATGCGAACTAAAAGGTTGGTGTCTGGAACCTATGTGTGAATATAATGTATTCAGAATCTCCGTTCTCTGAGCTGAATTCTGGATGGAAAGAATTTGGTTTGCCTATAAGCTATAAAGTTGTTATAATCAGAATCACATTCAGACGCTATCTCGCTGTGTCTACCTCACCCATTCTGGAAGACCCCTGTTGGATCCGAGATGTCCCGGGGCCGACAACCCCACTGCACCTGGCTCATAGAAAAGCCTTGATGCACCCAAATCAGTCCTGGGATGTCTCCTGGGTCACAACGATAGATGAAACCAAGCGTCTTAAAAATAACTCTGAAGGAGTTTTGAGTCAGCTTTGTTCTACAGGAAACTACTTGTTGGTTCAGCTTCGCAGGTGCGAAAAAGGTTTAAGGTTTGAACAACGTGTCAAAATCCTTACTGATTA